TTTAGTTTATTTATTTATTTAGAGAGAGAGAGAGTGCACAAGCGGGCAGGTGGGGGGGGGGTGGGGAGCAGAGAGAGAGGGAGAGGGAGAGAGGATCCCAAGCTGACTCTGTGCTGTCAGTATGGAACCTGCCTCGGGGCTGGAACTCAGAAGCCTTGAGATCATGACCTGAGCCAAAATCAAGAGCTGGGCACTTAACTGCCTGAACCACACAGGTGCCCCAGCGTTTGTTTTTGTTTTTTTAATTAACTAATTATTTTGGCATAATTTCAAACTTATGAAAATTTTGCAAGAAAAATTACACTATATCCTTCACCCAGATTCCCCAAATGTTAACACTTAACCTAATTTGCTTTATTTCCTCTCCTGAGTCTCTCTCTATCTCTCTCTCTCTGTCTCTTTCTCTCTCCATGTATATATAGAAACACACATACACACACACGTATGCACATACATATATATATATATCTAATATCAAATATATTTTTTTCTGAATCTTGGAAACTAAATTAGACATGAAGCCCTTTTATCCCTCATTCCTTTATTAATGATGATATGATATTACTTTCAAATCTTCAGACTTTATTCAAATTTCTCAGATTATTTCAATAATTGCTATAGCAGAAGAAAATCCACATTCCATTTCACATTTAGTTATCATGTCTCTTTAGTTTCCTTTACTCTGGAATAGTTTCAGAAATGTTCTTTGTCTTTTAAGACATCGACATTTTTGAAGAATACAGGCCAGATAGTTTATAGAATGTTCCTTTATTTGGGTTTGTTGGATGTTTCCTAAAGATTAGATTCCAGCTATGCATTTTTGGCAGTAATACCACAAAAATTTAGGATTTTTTGAGTTTAAAAAATGCAGTACATATTTAGGAAAGATATGCAAAAATGATATAGAAAATTGTACGATTATGTATTTTTTTTTGTTTCTTTACATAGAAAAACACTTGGAGAGCTTTTTAAAAGTACTGATGCCCAGCCCAGCCCTAGGAATGTTGATAAAATTAGAATGTTGCTTGAGTATTAGTATTTTCTTTAAAGCTCTCCTGATGCTTCTACTGTGCACTCAGGATTAATGTCTACCTTGCTAAATCCAGAAGGAACATTAGACAAGTTACAGAGATTCATAAAAATACAGACGTAAATTGGAAGAAGGAGGGACATTCAGTAGGAGAGGGACATACATGAAGTGTCATAAGCTCATTTTGGGTGGCCAATAAATTTGCTCTAACAAGCAACGTGAAGATAGTGACGTAATATTAAAGGCAGAAATACAATTTTAAATGACATATACAAGATAAAACTACACTATGTCTAAACAAACATAGAAGGAAGTGTCAGAGATCACATTTGAATGGTCACATTAGGGGTGATCTTTATTTTTTTCATATTTTTCTTTATTTTCAAATTTTCCCTTAAAGAATCTGAGGTCCTTTTTATAATTAAAATGTTTTTCAAAATAGCAATAGAATTAAAATAAATTTTATTTGTGGAATGCCTGGGTGGCTCAGTCAGTTAAGTGTCCAACTCTTGGTTTCGGCTCAGGTCATGATCTCACAGTTTGTGGGCTTGAGTCCCACATAGAGCTCTGCACTGACAGCATGGAACATGCTTAGGATTCTCTCTCTCTCTCTCTCTCTCTCTCCCTGCCCCTCCCCACTCATGTGCACATGTGCATTCTCACACTCTTTCTCTCAAAAGAAATAAATACACTTCAAAAAAATTAAAAATTTTCATTTGCATAGCACTTAATTTGCAAAGCTCACATTATCTCCCAATAGTAAGAGTAAGTAAATGAGGACGGTAGGCTTTCTGTGTGTGTCAGATTTTATACTACAAGCTTTACATGGATTCTCTTCTAATTCTTACAGCTAATCTTTGAGGTAGGTTCTATTATTAACCCCATTTTAGAAGATGAAGAAACAGACTCAGAAAGGTTAAGTCAGCTGCCCAAGCTTAAACAGCTTCCAAGTGTCAGAACAATCACTGTACTCCATTTACCCAGCAGAGGGTTTCTTTGAAGAAATAATTTGAAGACTGAGATGCCAGTTAAAAAAGAAAAAAAAAAAAAGAACAATCACTGTACTCTACAGTTTTAACATTTTACCACTAAGGACGCCAATATCTAACTATTAGGAGAAATATTCCACTCTTCTGCATGTTGTTTGTTAAAGGCTATTTTCCATATCAGATGAACGTTTAATAGGAAAAACAACTTGTTATGCTTTGCTTGGTTGCTTTGAAAATGAAATGAGAATTCTGGCTGTACTTTGGTTAGTAGCTTGCCGCCAACATTCAGGCATGTGCTTTTTTTCTAAAAAGAAACACACCAAATAAATTACAGTAGCTAGGCAAGATTCAGTAATTTCATTTATAATAAGGATTTTACACATGATGCAAACATTTCTAGAATGGAATCATCCTTCAAAAGGAAACTCAGAGAATATCTTTAATGTTTTCCCTGTGCATTGAGACCACACATTTTTACTGAGATCTGTCTAAAAGGCTCAGGAGTAGGAAAACAAAATGTAAAAGTCTGGTTTGGGTTAGTGTAGCTGAGTTTTAATCGCTTTTGTTTTTAAGAAAAAGAATTGGAAAAATATGTAGGCTCTTCCACTGGGAGTTCTAGAACCAGCACAGGGCGGGGGTCAGGAATCCTGGGTCCTGGTGAAGTCACTTCTCCTCTCTCGGTTTTTATGTCTTTATTTATAAAATGAAGAGATTGGACCAGGCCATCGTTAAGGAACCTCCCAGCTCGAAAATTCATGATTTTCCAACTGGAGTTAGGAATCCTGGGTTCTGGTGAAGTCACTTCTCCTCTCTGGGTTTTTATGTCTTTATTTATAAAATGAAGAGATTGGACCAGACCATCGCTAAGGAATCTCCCAGCTCGAAAATTCATGATTTTCCAACTGGATTGTCCTCCATGGTTCTTAATTACCTGGCTCTAATGAATGGCCCACATGGCACTCTCTTAGATCCGGGAAGTCCTGAGATGGCGCCAGAGTGTTTTTGGACAACACAGGGGAAATGAATCAGGGTAGCTTTCTCCCTGTCCACCTCCATCCAAGTGAGGCTGCTCTCGGCTCCAACCAGAGGATGGAGGCCCCAGAAACAAAAGAGAAAAACAGAAAGGACACAGAATAACTGGATTTGGAAAAGAGGAAGGAGCCGGTGGAGGAGCAGAAAGGGAAGGAAAGGTCCCTTTTCGTTAAGGATTTTCATGTATTTAACCATCCCAGCATTTCATATATTTAACCATCCCTGCCATCAAAGTCTATGTAATATATGCTTGTATTCCAAATCGGATACAGTAAATTTAGATCTGTAAAGAATCCTTAAAAAGTACTGCATTCATTTGAAATTCTCCCAAACGTTTATCACCAAAAGAAAAGCTTTTTTTCTTCCCATCACTCATAGTTTCTAGAGCTACGCTGTCCAATATGGGAGCTACTAGCCACCTGCAGCTGTTTAGATGTAAATTTAAATTAATGAAAATTAAATCAAGTTTAAAAATCACCTCCTGGATCTCACTAACCACGTAGACTAGTGACCACTGTAGTGTGTACAGCGCAGACGTAGAGGAGAACATCTAAATTATTGAAGAAAGTTCTATTGGAAGACACTGTTCTAGACTGTTTGATTAAAGGAAAATGGAGTTCGAACAATTGACAGAAAACTGGACAGTGGGAGAACAAGAATGATACGGTCAATTGTTAGCAATTATAATAATTATAATAGTTCCAGGGACTGGTGAAGCAATTTATATGCATCCTGTCATTCCTTAAAACATCCTCATGAGGTGAACACATATTATTTCCATTTTACAAATGGTAAAACCAAGGTTTAAAGAGATGAAGTTGGGGGCACCTGGGTGGCTTAGTCAGTTGAGTGTCCGACTTTCGCGTAGGTCATGATCTCACGGTTTGTGGGTTCGAGCCCCGCGTCGGGCTCTGTGCTGACTGCCAGCTCAGAGCCTGGAGCCTATTTCAGGGTCTGTGACTCCCTCTCTCTCTGACCCTCCCCTGCTCATGCTGTCTCTCTCTCTCCTAGAAATAAATAAAGCATTAAAAGAGAGAGAGAGAGAAATGAAGTTGCCCAAGGGCACATAGCAAGCAGGTGAACCCAACCTACCGAGCACCAGAATCCATGCCTTATTGCTCCTTCCCTCAAGTTTAAGGGACAAGACAGACCTCTAGCTGGTTGCAGTAGGCACAATAAGTGCTACCCACACTGTCAGCACTGTCCTTGGCATTGGGGGCAGGAGGCCCTGACCCCACACCCTTAAGGGCTGGGGAGGGACAATGGAGTAAACAAATAAATTAAGGGATGGCTTCAGCAGGTGACTAAGGCTAAGAAGTTAACAAAACAGACTAACATAACAGACATCGATGGGGAAAGGGGCTCTTTGAGGCAACGGTGGGGGAAGGACCCTCCAAGGGGTGACATCTGCAGCAAGACCTGAATGAGGAGAAGGAACGAGCCAGAGGGAGAGCAGAGGCATTGACAGGGCCAACATCTCAAGGTGGGCCGGAGCTCGGTGAGCTTGACGACAGGCACGCAGGAGGAGAGGGAAGCCCTGGCTGTGTTAAGTGGAGAGCCAGCTGTCGCTGTCCCAGGAATAGAGTCATCTCCACTACAGGGTGAGGAAGGAAAACCCAGAGGGCCACCAGGCAACTCTCCTCTTTCATCTGCACTCTGGCCACCCCAGTGGAGCCACCTTTTCATCTCACCCTAATTGATGGCCAGTCTTCCAACTGGCTTCCTGCTTCCATCTGTGGCCCCTGGAATCTGTCTCTCCTCAGCAGCCACAATGGCCCTGCCCTCTCTAAGGGCAAAGAGTAAAAGGCAAAGGCATTGCCATGGTCTGCAAGGCTCTCATCGGTCTTCTCACTGCCATTTTCCTGACCCCTACCCTCTACCCTCCTCCTGTGCCCTCCACGCCAGCCACACTGGCCCCTTGCTGTCCCCAAACACTCCAGACTCTGGGCTGCCCTGCTGGGACACTCCTCTCCAAGTTCACTGTAGAGTTCACTCCCTCACCTCCTTAAGTTTTGGATCTGATGTCACCTTCTCCATGAGGTCCTCTGACCACCATATTGAAATTCAAAACCCCTTTAATTGCTTTGCTTTTCTCCCTATCATTTATCCGCTGCTAACATGCTGTGTCTTTCCCTGTATTTCTTAAATGCATTGAGACTGTGTATTTCTATCTCCTGTCATACTCTTGCCAGGAGAGGGGTCTTTGCTTTGTTCCTGCTGGATCCCCAGCCCCCTAGAACGTGCATATAGGAAAGCGCTTGGATACGTGTAGAATGAACGCCAAGCTCCACTCCCTTACGGGTCCTCTTCCAGATTTGGGGCACAGTAAATGTGACAGAACCCCCTTCTCCCCATGACTGATAATTTTTGTTGTCAGTCACAGATGATGGAGCCAGTAAAATGATGTATTTTAAAAACAATTTAAACCAGCGACACCTTCCAGTTTAAAATTTTTCCAGGCCTGGAGCACCTGGGTGGCTCAGTCAGTTAAGTGGTCAACTTCAGCTCAGGTCATGATCTCACGGTCTGTGAGTTTGAGCCCTGCGTCAGGCTCTGTGCTGCCAGCTCAGAGCCTGGAGCCTGCTTCTGATACTGTGTCTCCCTCTCTCTTTCTGCCCCTCCCCTTCTTGCTCTCTCTCTCTCACTCTCTCTCTCTCAAAAATAATAAACATAAAAAAATAAAATAAAAATTTCCCAGGCCCCTGTAGGCCTACCCCCAGCCTAAGACACAGACACTGTAGATCAGCACCAGGCAACAGAAATAGAATGGAAACCACATAAGTAATTTTAAATTTCCTGGTAGCTGCATTGAAAAAAGACACAGGTGACATTAATGTCTCTGATATATTTTGTTTAATCAGTATATCTGAACATCAGCATTTCCATATGCAATCAACATACAAATTATTAATAAGATAGTTGACATTCTCTTTCCATACAAAGACTTCCAAGTGCAGGGTGTGTTTTATACCTCAAGCACATCTCCACTTGGACCAGCTACATTTCAAGTGCTCCTAGCCACATGTGGCAAATGGCCACAGAACAGGTCTGTGGGAGGCTGGTAAAAAGCTCATGTGAGGGGGTACCTGGGTGGCTCAGTTGGTTAAGCTTTTGGCTTCGACTCAGGTCATGATCTCACGGTTGGTGGGTTCGAGCCCCATGTCAGGCTCTGTACTGACAGCTCGGAGCCTGGAGCCTGCTTTGGATTCTGTGTCTCCTTCTCTCTCTGCCCTTCCCCCACTCATGCTCTGTCTCTCTCTGTCTCTCTTTCAAAAATAAACATTAAAAATTAAAAAAAAAAAAGCTCACGTGAGCCCAAGCTCCAGAAGCAAGCAAGTCTCATTCTCTCTCATTCCCTCCTTCCCTGCCCCAGGCCACTTTAGGTTCCTGGGTCTCCCATGGGTGCTGTGGGTCCCCAGTCCTGTTGGGTCTCTTCCACGTCAAGGATTCCCCACTGGGACACTCCAGTGACCCACTGTGGAACCAAGCCCTGTGGCGGGAAGAATCTGAGGTCAGCCTCCTCTGTCTCGGGCCAGATTGGGGACCAGACCCTCTCTCCCGGCAGCCCAGGAAGGAATTCATGCAAGTGGTTCCCTTGTCCAGAGACAGCAGCCACATGCCCAGCCCTAGGAACGGAAGGAGAAGGGGGACTGAACCTTCAGCTGGAATTTCTGCTCACGCTTCTTTCCAGGAAAAAAAAAATTCTGGAGCAATTTTGGCTTCCCTCTCTCACAAGTCAGGGCAGTTGACCAGTTCCCAGGGTGAAGTTATTTGGACTTTGGCCCCCCTTCTCATAAAGCTCTTCCCTCAGAGCCTCTGCCATATGGCCCCGTTTTGCATGCGCTGCTTTCTCGGGCTTCAGTCTGGGCCGCCCAGTCTCTCGGACTCCCACCCCCTCTCTGTATTTTTATCACCCTCCACTCAACCCCACATGCTCTGTTCTGCCTTTTCCCTCCGCCCCATCAGGCTCTGCTGTGGTTTTTGATGGTTTCCCTTTGTTTAATCATT